TAGTGTGTCTATATATGGATTTAAAAATTTAAGAACAACATGCAGCATTTATATAATTATTACTATTATGTAGATAATTTTTTCAATGGAGTTAATAAAGTAGAGTTTCCAGGTTTCCAGGTTTCTATGAAATAATGGTAGCCACCTAAATGTAAACAACCATATATATTCCAAAAAAAAAATTCTAGGATGAAAAGAGGGCAAATAATGTCATCTGGAACTATACCAACAACAGAACTGGGCAACAGAGAAGACTAAGAAGTGAGGAGGAAAATTCACACATGACACCAGCGGAGGCAGCTCCTGAGTATTCTTCAGGGTAGAGAGTGAGGGGACAACTCTCCACTAGGTGAATTTCTGCACATTTTGTGAGGAAAGCACTTTGTCCCAGACTATCTTTTTAAGAATGTTTGGATGGCAAACAGCCATGGAAATTAGAGACAGTGTGTCTATCTGGAACAAAGAGAGACGTGCTGCTCACTTGCCCAATTAAAAAAAAAAAATGTGTTCACAAAGCTCAAGATGCTCCTCCTTAACTCAACCAATTTTACCTGCAGATATTCTATGCCCTTATTGCACTGCTCTGTGGAAACTGAGTCCTGAAGAACCAGCACAAAAAAATACCAAAACTCTCGTTATTGTTATTTTTGTAGTAATGAACCATCCTCCTTCTCTAATCCAAGACTTTTGTACCTTCTACCAGCATCCATAAAACTGTTAGTGTGTTAGTTTCGCTTGCAAGTAGGGTAAAATCTCAGGCTCTGTCATCCTTTCCAGTAAGGGATGGGCTGTGAGGGAGAAAGGAGGTAAGAGTGCTATGGGCATCCCACTGGTGGCAAAACACAGATGAGATCAACTAGGATTCCACTACAGAAAGAGACGAACCTACCCTGAATAGGAAATATTGAAAGATCTGAGACCTGGTAGGTCCTACCAATTGGTTCCTAGAAAATCAAAATGAAGGACCTTGAAAAGCGTGCATGACTGGATGAGACACTGGGGGAAGGCACCACTCTAAAAAGGAAGCACGCAGCAGTTAGAGCTCCACCTAGAGGCTGGCTGGTGAATGGAAACAAGGAAAGATGAAGATAAGGCCCCATTGACAAAAGACAGTACAGAAAGAATCAGAAGACATGTTTAAAATAAAAAAAAAAGGTAAGACAATCACTCTTAAAAAAAAGAAAAAGACCCTTTACACTATAACAATGTAGAAAGTAACAGTAAAAGTGAGAAATCTAGTCATCCACATTCTCCTTGACCCAATACCATCTTTTCCAATATGTATGAAACATGGCATCAATAAGGCCACAAAGCTTTAATAATTTCCATTAACTAGATATAACAGAAATAGTATTTCCTGATCACAACGCAATGAAATTCAAATTTATAACAAAGCCATAAGAACAAAAACATTCTTTTACTTAGAAAACTCTATTAACTCTTGGGCAAAAAAAAAGAAATGTATATACAAATCACAGGATTTCTAAAATAGCATCAATATAAACTACAAAAATACCCAAATATAAGGGATACAACTGAAGCAGTGCTCATAAGAAACTACTTTGCTTTCAATATTTATGTTAATAAAATATAATACAAATAAATAAAATTAACCTTTACTCAAAGGTAGAAACAAAACAAAAATTTAACCAAAAAGAAAAAATAAGAAAATAGTAAAAGATAAGTAAAACTTAATGAATTAGAATAAGAAAACAAGTCAACTAATAAATAAAGTTGGTTCTTTGAAAAATTTAATAAAGTACATTCAACCAGTAGACAACTTAAACTAGAAAAAAAATACTCATACTCAAACTAAGAAATGACAAGGAAGAAATAAACATTTGAACAGAGGAAATTGTAAGAATCTTAAGAGATGACTTTGTACCACTCTATGCAGATAAACTTGAAAACAGAGGAAACTGATGTCAAAATAATAGAGAGAGATGACTTTGAAAGAAGATATAAAGTTATCTGAGAGCTATTCAAAAACATACCAGCACCAGTTTCCCGGGGGAAATCTATTAGACTTCAAAGATCAGATAATTCCAATTCCACATAAACTATTCCAGAGCACAGAAGCATAAGAAAAACATGTAAATCCTTTTTAATGAAATGAGTATCTTATTTATACCTAACCTGGTAAAAACTAAACAGGAAAAAGACAACTAAAGTAAACTTCACTTATGAACATTGTATTAATTTTCTAGAGCTGTCATTATAAAATACCACAGACTAGGTAGCCTAAATACTTTTTAAATAAAATGAGTATTGAATCTATACCTAAAATACCACAGACTAGGTGGCTTAACAACAGAAATTTATTTTCTCACAGTTCTGGATGCTGAATATCAAAATCTTGGGGTTTACAGGCTTGGTTTCTTTTAGGGCCTCTCTCCTTGGCTGGCCTTTTCTCTGGTCAGGCATCCCAGATGTCTCCTCATCTTCTTATATGGACACCAGTCCTACTGGACTAGGACTATACTCTTATGACTTCATTTAACCTTAAATACCTCTTTAAAGACCCTATCTCTATATAAAGACAGATTGAGGGTTAGGGCTTCAACACACGCATTCAGGGGGCACTTAATTCAGTCCCTAACAAACATTATGCAAAAATCCTAAAGTGTTATAGAACAATTCAGTAGCACATAAAAATAGTAATACATCGATTCACTGCTAAATACAGTATATTCTAGGAAGGCAAGAATTAACTCGTCACTCTAAAATGACATAAGCATTTTTCTTTGACTTAGTCTCATATCTAGGAGCCTACTCTGAAGATGTTTCCCATATAAAAAACCATATGTCACACAGGTATTGACTGTTGTATTTTGTAATAACATAAAACTAAAAAGAACTCAAATGTCTACAAGTAGGAGACTATGTGAACAAACTCTGGTACATCCACAAAATGCAGCCATGAAAAGAATGAGAAAGATCTCTACATACTGACATTGACTAAAATTCAGAATATTATTACATGAAAAGGCAAGGTGCACCATGGTGTATATAGTATGTCACATTTCATATAAGGGAAGAAGGGAGAATAAGGCAGATATAAATGGATAGATAATAGATAGATAGATACTGATACAAATACAAATGCACATACTTATTTTTGGAAAAAGAAACATCTATGGAATGAGGAAGGAAAGAGTAGAGGAAATAGGGATATCAGTCAGACTTCCCTGATTATGTCTTCAAATAAAACTTTAAAATTATGTTAATATTTTTCTGATTGAAAGAATAATTCAAAAAGAAGAAAAGCCAATTCTAAAGCTGAAAAAAATGAGACAAATGAACCTAGGTGTGCATTAAATTGGTGATGCGATTGTCTAGAGGGAAGATTTATTTCAAGTTTTTTCAATATTGTACAGGTTGAGTAACCCTTATCTAAAATGCTTGGGGCCAACGTTTCAGATTTTGGATTTTTTCAGATTTTGGAATATTTTCATATACGCCATGAGATAACTTGAAGATGGGACCCACATGAAAGCACAAAATTCATTTATGCTTCATATATCTTATATACATAGTGTGAAGGTAATTTTATGTAATATTTTAAATAATTTTTGTATGAAACTAAGTTTTGACTGTAACTCATCATATGAGATCAGGTGTAAAAATTTCTACTGTCGTATCGCACTGGTGCTCCAAAAGTTTCAGATTTTGGAGCATTTCAAATTTCAGATTTTTTGATTAGAGATACTCAACCTGTATTCTGTATATCTTTTGTGGGATATATTCCAAAGACAAAAACAACAGCAAAGAAATCTTAAACCTTACTCACTAGTTTTGTCTTTAGTAGTAATAATGATACTGCAATTTCAGAACTCATCAAAACTAAATCCTGTAGTGCTTAATAAAATGTCAGATTTAAAGTTTGATATTTCCTTACAAGTAGCAAATTTATGAGGGGTGTGCAAAATAATCGGGAAAGGAGGGCAATAGGGGTAAAGGTGGAAGCCAAATCTTTAATCAGTATATGAATGAAGAAGAAAAATCTAGTATCCTTTCTCTTTTACCTTGAATCAAAAAGACAAAAATTAGATGCAATGTTCAAATCTCTAGTCAACAAAGCCAGAACCCAAACTAAGGCTGTAAGCTTCCCAAAACTTCTTATGTTTTGGGAAATTTTGAGAACTTGAAGGAAGTTCTGGGAAGTTTACCACCCTAGTTTGGGTAATAAATGTTTTCATGCTGTATACTAATGCAGTTTGGGAAGTTTAGTGTATTACAATATCTGTTCTCTAGGGCAGGAGTCCCCAAACCCCGTGCCCTGGACCACTACCAGCCACACAACAGGAGGTGAGCATACTGGCTAGAGAGAGAAGCTTTATCTGCATTTACAGCCACTCCCCATCACTGGTATTACTGCCTGAGCTCTGCCTCCTGTCAGATCAGCTGCAGCATTAGATTCTTCTAGGAGCATGAACCCTACTGTAAACTGTGCATGTGAGACAGCTAGGTTGTACACACCTCATGATAATCTAATACCTGATGATCTGACACTCTCTCCCATCACACCCACATGGGACCATTCAGTTGTGGGAAAACAAGTTCAGGGCTCCCACTGCTTCTACATCATGGTGAGCTGTATAATTATTTCATTATATATTACAATGTAAGAATAATAGAAATAAAGTGCACAACAAATGTAACACACGTGAATCATCCCTAAATCATCCCCCCTCCATATGTGGAAAAATTGTCTTCCATGAAATCAGTCTCTGATGTCAAAAAGGTTGGAGACCACTACTGCAGGGCACTTATTGTGCCATTTCCTGGCTACAAGAAATTAGTCTGAACCAGATGACATCTCTTATTTTCCTAAATAAGAATGAATAATAAAGCCAGTCACAGTGGCTTAGACCTATAAACTCAGCACTTTGGGAGTCCAAGGTAGAAGGATCACTTCAAGCAAGGAGTTCAAGACCAGCCTGGCAACATAGCAAGACCCCATAGCTATAAAAGAAATAGCCAGTCATGGTGGCACTCACCTGTAGTTCTAACTACTCAGGAGGCTGAGGTAGGAGGATCACTTGTCCAAGAATTTGAGATTGAAGTGAGCTATGACAGCATCACTGCACTCGAGCCTGGGCAACAGAGAAAGACTCCATCACACACACACAAAAAAATGAGTGCTAAGAGTTAAGTTCTCCATACATATTTGGATATGACATCCGGAAAAATAATCCACACATTTGGCTTTCTAAAGAATCATCTTTCTGTTTTGGAGATCATGCATGTTACACAAGGCAGGTAGACAAAGTGAATATTTTTGGTGATAGAACTTAGATGACAGAATAAGAATAATGAAATTAAAAATGAATAAGGAAGATTATAATTTAAAATTTGTAATTCTACAAATCCAAAATGAGAGAAACCAGTTTAACTGTTACTAATTTTATCTTGTTATACTTTATTTTATTTTACTTTATTACTTTTTGGAAACTTGACCACAATTGGGAATAAGCCAAAAACATTTTTAGGTAGGTGCCGAAAGCTGAACACAGCCACAGACTTGAAGAAGAAAGATATCTAGCCAGAACAAGAGAAGTAATAACTCCCTTACTTTATTTAGACTGCGGACCAAATCTAGGCATCCCATTTTAAAAATAACATCGATAAACTGTAACCGACTCAACATTTTGATCTCTTAGTGCTTTTAACTTTTCATTTTCAATCACCTATCCTCCAATTATCCTCAGCCATCTACTCCCAGAAATGATAAGGAGGCAGAGTGAGGTGGGAGCTGTACATAGTTGGCCTATGCCAATACTCTTGCCTTACACTACTGGTTTTCAACCCTGGGAGCACATTAGCATTGACCTGAAGAGGCCCCACTTTAAAATAATCAAAACAGGATTGGAGGGAGGTATGGGGAGACAGCAGGGCAATTTTTTAATTTCAGATGTTTCCTGTTTCCAGTGTTCAAGAATCAGAATCACTGCCCTCAACAGATTCTATGCACTTTGTGGACAAGGATTGTTGTTTCCTTGGTAATATGGATTACATCTGAAAGAGGTATGCTTTCTGAATTCATGTTGCTTTCCAATTCTGATTTACTAAAACAAATTGAAAAATTATACTAGGCTATTTAGGATTTATATTCTGGATCTTTTCCCGAAAACCTTTATTTACACCCCAAGAGTTGTATAAACATAATTTATCAGAGAAGGGGAGAATGTATTTGAAAGGATTCCTAGCAAATATACGTAAAGAAGCTTTCAAATCCAGTAGTTAAGTAAAAATCAATGATATTTTTTTCCAGGTCTCACACTAAAAGTATTCAGTGATTTACATATAAACATTTTACAATAAAAACATGACCTAGGACTATCTCAGTGTAACACTTTGTTATTAAAAACGAATGTAAGAAAACTCTTTTAGCATGGTATTTTTGAATTACAATCATGTACTTCAGGGTTGAATGTCTTAGAGAAATGAGAGGAAAAGTTAGTCTTACATGCATAGGCTGATGATAGAAGAAGACAGAAAGGATGCAATTAAATGTAAAATAAATATATACTTTGTTTTCTTAAAAATGAAGCAAGTGTTTAAAACTGTGGTAGATCTTTTAATCTGTTGCTATGCCAACAGAAAAAATTTAAATGGATCCAAGAAATGGGACAATTTTCAGGAATATAAGCACAACCTATTTCAGATAAGTAAAACTGTATTCATATTATCCCCCCAAGGGGTTAGAGTCTTGAGGGAATTAGTGCAGAATTAATTGCTCAGGTTTCTCCCCCAAACCACAGCAGTCATAAGGCGCAGAATCTCACGCTATGTTTTTCTGATATCTAGATCTGGATTTAGGTTAAACTTTTTCAGGATTGTGGGAAATGCTGTTCCCCAGTTTGTAGCTAGCAGGACAGCATGTTTCTACCATTTTAAGACTGATTAACACACGCAAGAGACAAAAGTCCATAAATCGTGACCTGTATTTCTTAGACAATACCGAGATGATATAGCTTTCAAATATAAAAACATCTTAATAAAATACTTCTCATATGCAAATTATCAGCATGCTTTTTTGAGTCAGACAAAGACAGGCATTATTTTTCCTGAAAAAAAATCAAAGATTAAAATGAAGGATGACCTGAAATCTATAACTTACAGAAATAGAAATTATAAATTCACTCAAATCGTATTCATATAAGATAGTATTTTAACTATTGGATATTCAGTGCATTGATCCACTTCTTCACGGCTTTCTCACAAGTAAATATAAGCAAGCATTTCTTTTTTTGAGGGAAAGTTGTTTTGTTTCTATTGTAAAAATACATTTCTGAAAATACTTTAATACATCCAGAGAGTCTTTCCTTAGCTTTACAGCAAGTCAGGAATAGACTGCCTCAGCAAAACAAAGATGAAAATTTAGTTCAACTGCCTTTCCTGAAGGTATTTCTGTAAAGAAAGAAATAGATAATTCACAGTAATTAAAAAGTATTTTCAATTAAATGCTTGTCTGTATGGGTGAGTCTGCCTTATTGCCTATGAGAGAAAAAAAACCTTACTTCAGCTTATTTTCAAGTGTTTATTTTTAAATGACTTAATTATCAAATGGAGCCACTATGAACAACAATTTCTTATCATATGATATTTTTTATTTTATACCGAAGATGAGAAAACATCTGAAACTGGGTAGCATAAGGGGAGCAGTGGCATTCCTTTTTTTCCACTAGGTTTCTATCATCTATCTTTAGGTTTTGCTTTATTTTTTAAATATGTGGAGCTGAGCTGATCCACAAATACACTGTTTGAGCTCATCTTTAAATCCTGAGCATGTTCACATAAAAGAATATTGCCCATTGGCTACTGGGTATCACCCAGTTTCACTTTGTCTTTGTTTTCTGAATAGTGAGCCTCTACTATAACTTACATTAATATTACGTGATAAATGACAGCTTTATTGTTATATTAAAACTCTTTAGCAGTCAGTTAAGGTGACTGCATTTATCTAAGAAATATGAGCTCCACTTGTACTTATTTCTGTATCTAATGTATGCCATTTCTTGGACTATCCAGATATCGCATGGTAATTGTAGCCTACACTAGTTACAAAAAAGAAAAAAAATAGGAGATTTGGTGAATATACACAATCATCATATCCTTAAAAGTGCTTGATTGTCTAGTTCTATGTCACAAACTGTGTACCCAAACAAAATAAGATAACAGATGGATTTTGGAAGATGTTAATGAGTGTGGTTGAAAACACACAGAAAAATCTGATCTACTCCAATGGCATTCAAACTTTTTAACAACAGAGAATTTCCTCAAATGGAACTTTTCTGTGCAGAGTCCAACGTATAACACAAATAATCAAACAAAATTGACCCTCCTTCTTGGCTCTTCTGGCCCCCAAGATACCTCTAGGTATCCTAGCACATTGCTGAGAATAGCTTGGAAGACCACTGGCTTTAATTTTTATCATATTCTTTCATCATATGTTTTCAGTTTCCCCTTTTAATAGGAAGTACTACACATTTCAGTCTGTAAAAATTTGGAAACTCCTTCATCTCTGCTACAGAATCACGATTTTTCTGGATCTTCTATCTCCAGTTTTCCCAACTTCACTATACTGCCATTTTCTCATCTGTAAAATGGAGATTATAGTAGTACCTACAAATATATTTATTTATTTATGTATTTCTTATAATATATAATTTATATAATTGATATTTTAATATAAACATACATTAAATGGTTGTATAATAAAACATATTTTATTTATATAGAAAGTTCTTTGGACAATAAGCAATAAACCATTTAGCAAATTAAAAAATTCCTTACATGGGCCAGGCATGGTGGCTCATGCCTGTAATCCCAGCACTTTGGGAGGTCGAAGCGGGTGGATCACGAGATCAAGAGATTGAGACCATCGTGGTCAACATGGTGAAACCCCGTCTCTACTAAAAGTACAAAAATTAGCTGGGCATGGTGGCGCGTGCCTGTAATCCCAGCTACTCAGGAGGCTGAGGCAGGAGAATTGCCTGAACCCAGGAGGCGGAGGTTGCAGTGAGCCGAGATTGCGCCATTGCACTCCAGCCTGGGTAACAAGAGAGAAACCCCGTCTCAAAAAAAAAAAAAAAATTCCTTACATGAAGATGATGTGGTTTTATTTGTGTGAAAGCTGTGTGTGTGTGTGTGTGTGTGTGTGTGTGTGTGTGTGTGTGTGTAGAAAGAGACAGAGAGACCTGGTCTCTCTCTGTCACCCAGGCTGCAGTGCAGTGATGCAATCACATCTCACTTCAGCTCTCTGCACCTAGCCAAGCTCAGGTGATCCTCACTCAGGTCAGCCTCCTGCGTAGCTGGGACCGTAGGCATGTGCAATCACACCCAACTAATTTTTTTTTATTTTTTGTAGAGATGGGATTCCACCATGCTGTCCAGGCTGGTCTTGAACTCCTGAGTTCAAGTGATCCTCAGCCTCAGCCTCCCAAACTGCTGGGAGTACAGATATGAGCCACTTCGCCCAGCTGCAACATTTTTTTAATAAAAGGCCAAAATACTGCTTTCTATTCTGTTTCTGATTTTATTTGTGTAGGCCAGTTGATATTCTGTTGATTTACAAGATGGAATTATGTCAATGTTAAGTGGAAGCATTCAGGAAATAATAATAGTTCACAGAGCTTTCATTTTCCAAAAATGGACTTAGGGGCTCAGCTACACATATGAAGATATTTGGGGTTCTTTATTTCCTCACTCTTGCCTTCAGTCAATCTCATTTGCCACTCAGTCACGTACATATGCTGTAGCTTGTTCTCATCAGTTGGGTCTGTTAGAACCCTGGGAGTTTAATATCATCTCTAAACCTGGTGATTTCATTGTTTACTTTCAGAACATTTATAGCATGTTAAATATGGCAGCAGTCCCAGGCCTTCAGAGACGCCTCTGTTTTTACTTCCGTCTCCGACATTTTGTTTACTTTGTGTCCTTTAATGAGGACTGGAATGGTGATTGGCTTAACTCTTAAGGATGCTCCCAAGGATCTTTTCCTTGGGAATGAGGAGGAAGGAAGAATATAATTTGTATAAAAATTCTTTAGAGGTTTAGACATCTAGAGAAACATGAAAGAAAAAAAATTAAA